AAAGGAGGCTGGCCTTAAATATGAAACATTCCTCAACCATATTTTGATTCTTAGCTTTTCATCGTAGTAGACATTAATTTCCCACCTTTGTTTCTCATTTTGTTAATTTCCTCTCTCTCTGTACTAATGTGGGATGCTACAGCTTGAACCGGTCGACAATTGAGTAGGGTTCAACGGCGACTATAACTGAATATATACTATTTAGATCTTTCTAGTAACGAGGACATCACTAAACTTGTCAGTACGAAATGAGCTGTCCTATTTTACTAGATTATTATGACTACGTTCTTTTAAGAGGTAAACAGATATCAGATATCTATGAATTTCAGTTGGGTCAGTAGTTCTTACATCACCAAAAGCTTATAAGAATGCTAACAGTTTTACTGTCTAATTGACTAATCACTATTTTTTATATAAAACTAGATAAACTTTTCCATTTATTGGAGGTGAATAGCATTTCAATAGATCTTTGCAAAAAGAAACAAATTGAACATAGATCCCACGACAGAAGAACAAAAATGAAGTGTTCAAACACTTTGTATATCTACTTTCATATCGTTATTATCAGAAATTATGATAAGAGTATAGTCCTGTTCAATCAAAATATCAACACACTTTTACGAGGCACAAGAAAAGTATTTACCCGTAGCTGTGAATCGGGTAGAAAAACAGTGAACGAAACCATAGGTGCCTTCGAAACCGACAAGTTAGGAGCAGAGGGACCAGTGATACTGAATGAGATGCTTTGGTGACGTATATATTTTAAACAAAGAGGTGACTTTTTAAACGGAGTAGAATCCTTGAAACCTAATATATGCACTTCCCTTTTAGTAGCCAGGTAGTACGACAGATCAAATGTAGTTAAAAACCGAGTGCAATAATCATAACCTAATGATTTGAAAAAAAGTCTGTATCGAAGTATGTTGCTATATCGGCACAGCGAGAGGAAAACAAGAGAAAAGAATCGGTAAAAATGGTAACCCCGATGTCAGTAGCGAACTGACGGTGAGACGGGGAATTCAGAAAAAAGGACAAATTGGGGGAATAAAATGTATAGGATAATACTCACTTCAAATATCATATAAATAAACTTGAGAAATAACAAACTAAAACAATAGAGAAAAACCTGGAATAACTTATAAGGCATTTCAAAAAAATGATAAATAAATTCATATTTACTACAATTGTTAGATGCTTCAAAACTAGAGATTAAAAATAATAAAAGAGGTTCAATTTTCGGAGATTTGGAAATAATAATGTGGAAGGAAGTAAACTGGGGAAAATAAAGTGTCTGTAACTTAAGAATCAAAAATAGTGCCATGACTCATTTTATGGACGTCTGAATGTTACCAAAATCGAAGTAGCTGAAACAACAATAAGTGATAGTCAAATCTTAAAGACACTTAACCATAGCTTTATAGACAACAATTAGAATGAAATACAAAGGGCATGGAACGATGAAATTAACACTGACAAAAGTCGCACAAAATAGGTGCATATTTCCTACTGGAACCAACTCTCAGCCATATCAACTGAAAAATCCGCCTTCAGTTATTAGAGGAAACATAACAAAAAAAGATTCCCTTATATAGCTAAAGAGAACAGCCAGATTTCTAAGACCGATGTTTTGTTTCGGTTCGAACACCAGTTTTTACTACCTACCCTTACATCAGTGTTCTCCTTGGGCAGAGTCCAAGTCGACACGATAACTAACGTTCAGTATTTCCTTAGAGGTACCTCAGGACTTACTTTTCCACGGTGTCGTTAGTCAGGAAAAGGCAACCATCAGCAAGTCTCTTACTGCACAAGATATCTTAATCTCGGTTGAATCCTTCTGTTACTTCACTACAAACAAGTTTACTCCTATGACTTCAGCTTTCTCCCCACTCGACACTAATAACAACTATTGGACTTCACAAAGTATTATTCCTGGTGTCCGGAAGTCGCATCTTAAACTGAATTTTGGGGCTATCAATGTTCGAACCCTATGCCAAATTGGAAGTAAAGCTTCATTAACTAGAACTCTGAAATTCCGTTCCATTGATGTAAACGGAATCTCGGAAATTCTCATTAAGGATACAAGTGTGATTATTCACTTGACCTCACCTAGTCGATACAGAGGACAATGCGACTCACCCTTAGTAGGTTTTAGAGCTTGACTACTGCATATCATGGTCTAGCTGATGCAGATATAACAATAAGCTCTAAAGCAAAACATAATTTTCTGGACTCGGTTTCAATGGGCAATCGATTGTATGCTGTCCAACCAAATGGTATCGGAAACGCCTGGGAGAGTGGGACACGCATTGTTTAGTCTTTGTTGTCTCTGTCAACACTCCCACTGACTAAAGCTCGGATGACGAAAACGCTATATCACAGAAAGCAGTTTTTCAAAATATTGGCCTCTATAATCCCTTAATGCTTAACTAGGAGTCATAAACAACAAACTCGGGAAAACTAGGCTGATTTTAGAACTGGATGTGAATGCACCGATCAAGTATTTACCCTTTTTCAGGTCCTAGAACAAAGGAATGTCTATCAGACCAGACAACAGATGTATCTCTTGACTCTGTTAACCTGGAGGTTTTGTGGTAGCGTTTAGCGTTAAAACGTGTGCCAAAGTACATAAACCGTGTGAAAGTTCTTTACTTGAAAACTATTGGTTGGGTCTCAGATTATGGAGAAATGTTATCGGAATTTCGAACCCCAAGCAGTGTTCGTTAAGGTTTTCCACAATCACCAACTTCGGTTGACTTTATTTCAAATATTCTTTTGCAGATAACGCTTTCAATATCTGACTTTCCAAGGATTGATCTATCAGGTTTACTTATCGGCTTACAGTAAGCGGATGATATAATCTTGTTTGGTGAAAATTGGCAGAATTCTGAGCTTTCTGGTTGCCATGATTAACAATAAAAGCATGTTTTATATGCATTCCCCCCTCTAAAAGTAAAATATTGCTTGAGGACTAGCACATACCAAACTCTAACAAATGATAATAAATGAAGCAGCTAAGTTTATAGACAAATTTACTTCCGTTGGAAGTCTTATCAACCCTGGTGGGTTGATGGCTGGTGAAATTCCATCACGGGTTCATAGAACTCAGTTATCTTTTACCAACCACCGTCACTTGTGGAGAAGGATGAATATCCACCATTCAGCGAAAAGGTGAGTATACTGAGCAACAGGTCTTCTCGTTTTATCATATAGTTTTGAAACGTGACCCTTAAAAGTAGAGGGCATTAATTTTTATTTATTTATTTGAACACAAAAATATTGGTACAAAGGGGCACCAGACATATATGCGCCACACAGAGGGCATTATAAAGTATCTTCGAAGCGTTGTTCGCGTATGTTAGGACCACCAAGTAAAGTTACGGTTATACACACGATACTAGGCAAAGATGATGAACCGGAAAATAAGATTGTGAATCTTTATCCAGCTCAGAAATACTCTGTTTTATCTCGACTTACCATCTTATGGCTTTTTTCATATTATTTATAATCTATTCATCACTTGGAATCGATGGAGAAACTGAGTGACCATGAACAATACAAGTAATAAGTATTTCGATCCTTACAGGTTCACAGTTTTGATAAACAATTTTTCTCCTCTCTATCAAGCCCAAATTCAGCTTAAACATCGTTAATCCGTTTATTCTACCACAAATAAATAAATTTCATGATCTACAAAGCAAATGCACGTAATATGTCTATGCTGTTCTGTTCCACAAAACATTTGAAAGTTGTATGGTAAAACGAAGAAAGTAATAGACCTAGTCTTCAGTCATTAATTAAGTCAGAAACCTTTCACATACAGGTTTAGAATTTAATTTATATTATTAATCTAGAACACAGGTAAACGAAATGGTCATCATGCTCAGATAAATCGCTTATAAGCTCAAACTTTTTCTCTTGTAGACTAATGCTAAAGAAATACTATGCATTTGACGCAGGTTAAATCCAAGCAAAACATCAGTTTTTGGTACGCATGTACCTCGAGAACTCACCAAAACAACAAAACACAATAATGCACACGCTTGAAGTTCAAAAACTTACGGTGATCAATAACCCCAGTGAGGTATAAGTGAGGAGTTAGTGTTCAATGAAGTTTCAAAAAAAACATGCGAACAAAATAGGCACTCGACAGATGCAAGTCGTGATGAGGTAATTTACTATAACTTCCCTCCCCAACAGTAATAATCCTACTAAAACTTGAAGCTTTATCAAAATTTCTGAACCTAATTACCAGAATAAAAACTATTCAGGTCAAGCTGAAAAAAGTTAGTTGCTCTTAAACTCTCGTCAAAATACATTCCTTTGGCAAGTCCCAGTTGCCACCTAAATTAATCCGCCTTAACGCAGCACAATAAGAACTAAAAACGCCATAGTAAAATATTCACCACTTTCACTGGCCATCGAGACCAACTACTGAGAGTTGAAAGCTGAATTCGCGGAACTTTAAAAGGCCATCAACCTTTTGAGAAAAAGTCCTACTACTGATACCCTTCAGAACTTCCTATTCTCTTCTCCATTCCCAACATATACCTCTAAATTTCTGTCCCATATGTTTTTAAGGAGGGATCGATGATCTGATTATGGTCGTACGAAGCTTTTGAATTTGGGTGATATAATTTAGCTAAATACGCACTGCACATCATAACTTGAACATGTAAAGAGGCTTACGAGTAACGAACAACCCAACAAGAACTATGTAGCGGTACTGTTATAGCTACATCTAATCACAGTTGCCTTATCTCCAGTCATATCTACAATTAAGACTAATCAGGAAAATACCGCTCGTGGTATTACAGTCCACAACTTATAACAAGTATCTTAGTTTGAAAATTTAGATATTGCTAATCCTAACATACCAAATTAAACTGTAGATACAGACCCAAAAATCGACAAACAAATGAATTGTTCGATGACTTGCCAAGCATTGAATACAGTACATAGGGTAAAATCACCGATAAACCATGTGACATAGCATGACTTACCTTCAATCCACAGCTTGTCAAAATTAGTGTCGACAGTAACCGCTTTCAGGCCAAAACAAAATAGACTAAGTACTACTATGGAACTGAGAACCTTCCAATGGTGTGCACAAACAAATTCTTCAAAACGCAAAAACTTTAACCTCCACCACCAATGGAGCGTTGCACAATACGCAGGAACGTAAAACAAATTCTTTAAATTATTAAGAGATCTATTTTAACTTACTTCAAAGAACCCCCTTGAGCTTTGGCTGTTGGTACTACTTGGAGAAGCAAAATCCACAACCGTCTTGTCTTCTGAAGAACTTGTATATGCTTTCGAAGTGCTTTCCACTGGTAGTCCATCAAAAACAAACTGTCTAGCACTTTTCATATCTTACATGAAGTTCCCCGAAATATTGACTTGTAGCAGCATTATGGGAGAACATCAAGTTTGGCCAAAGTACATGATTTAATAAAAGTTTTGCTGACTAAAAACTCAATACTGATAAATAGACAACAACGACCACAATAACAACTAATGGACTATAATCACAACGCCCGCTGGGGACCTTGTGAGAAATTAACGCCGCTGTATAGTTCAACACTAAGTGATATGTTTAAACACCTAACGTAAAGTATACCCTCAAGAATACACCATTTTCAAAATAAGTGGCTGATACAAGAGGCTATGATACTCCGGATATTATATGATTTCATGTGAGTGAATCTTGGTTTAGAAAATTTAATATCCACTTTCAGTGACAAAAAGATAAGAGGCTGGACAAGTGTTAGTCCTGGCAATAATAATCTCTTAGTTGATCCACTTTTCTTTAAGGAACTTCAATCATGTGTTGAGGTAACGAATTCCATACCTTTATGGTTCGATCAGAAAGTCGAGTAAGTAATTTGATCTGGCCCCCAAATGCCCTGTTACGGCCGAGAGTGGGAAGAGTCCTCTTCAAATGCTCTCACATCGCCACGCATATATAGCCTCTGCCAGGGAAGTCATACCCATTGCCTTCTCGTGACATTACTGTTGTTTACGAAATTGAGAGGACGAAAAGCGAATGTCCGGCGCTTTAACCGGGTTGGTGGACATGGAGAGTCCACCTAGGGGAGTTGGAAAACCCTGATTCCAAACCAATGGTGCATATGGGCTCCAGTATCCTGAGTGAACTAATGGTGTATGAATTAATCGTTGGTTACCGGCTACCATGGGACTGCATCCTCTTACGATGCTCCACTGCCTTGTGGATCAGACCTGTAGGTCGAAGGCTCCGGGTGTGACCTCCTAAGAAATCACACATGAGCTTTACTATCTCGATAATTGGCATATTTGCGGCTCTTTGAACCTTTTCCAACGAATCGCCGTCTCCTTTTTTTAGGAGCTAGCTGCTTATTTGTGACACTCGAGTCTAGAACAAATGAATACTGTACACAAATCTACAACGTTTTTAGCATTGACATAGCTAAAGGCTCTACGTATTGACCATAGTGTTCTAAAACCTTTGGTGGCTATCGCGCAACAGTGTGTAGTAGTTATTTTAATTTCAGATAAAGATGAAACAACAGATAGCTCGACCAACTCTTTAGGGCAATAATCAACAGTTCATGATTTATGTATAGTCAATAACGTTCCTCACATACTGAGACTACCGGTGACTCTTCAAATTTGATGGCACACAATTATGTACGTTAAGTAGCCTTAATGTCGTAATCTTTCGTGAGACAAAGTGAAGAGCGAAATGATTGAAATTATAAGGTCTTTTGTCAAACCTGTTCTTTAAAACTTAAGAGATATCTGTTAATGTGTACTGATGACAGTTTTGATTGTATGTCATCTTGATAAACAGTTGAGTTTGCTTCCTAGCTAGGTGTTTTGAACGAATATGCGTGGCAAGGAATCACAATATGAGTTCTATCAGGCCTCAAAAGTTCATGACAGGACCACTGACGCACAAGAACGAAGACTAATTCACCTTATTCATCCTTAACTTAGACCGCTTGACAGACTCTAGAGGTTAATGATCTGTCGTCCAATGTAGAAATAGCTTAGTTTTATGAGTAATTTTCCAAAGGCTTAGTGAAGCCAAATGTAGACACTTCTCTTTGGAGCACGTCCTTGTTTCTCTACATGGTGGAAGGAAACAGAATTTCTCAAATAATCCGGGGAGAATGAGCGATTCGAATAGATAGTTATCTATACATTTTTAACTTTCCTAACATGATCATTAAGTTACAGTGATTACTTGTTCTTGAGGAACGTTGGACAGTTTTAGTCTTATCACTTTTGTAGCTGAACCTTGTTCATGACTTGAAAGGAATTTATTTTCAACTTATCAACTAAATTTATCACAATTTTATGTTTTAGGCATCTGGTACATAATAGGTTAACGTGTAAAGAGCTAATATCCTTTGCATTTTTACGTCATAGAGGACAATCTTCAGGTTTGCTTATATTCTTTTTTTTACCTATACTTGCTATTCTGCTTTCGTACCAAATACTACTTTTGTATTGTTCTCTACAGAACTATTCAAGAAATACTTGTCCGTCTCGTCTATTAAATGCTTGAACTGAGGTGCGTAACCGGCAGAAATTTTAGACCAGACCATTGGATTAACGATGGTCAGAAAAGGGGAACATTATCACCAACCAGAGACTTCGCCCAAAAGCACAACCGGGAGCCTGGAATATACGAAATATTTTACCATACAGACATGAGTAATTGAAGTTTTTCGTCATCATATCATCTTTGCTAGCCATTATTCCTCTAATCATTGTGGGTGAATCGAACAGTCGAACATAAAACACTAGGTCGCATGAGAGATATGGAACAACGTTGTTACAAATTGTTTAAAAACGTCTGCCTTTATACAACTTTGCGTGACGAAAATAACTTTCAAATTTGTTATGTCGTTTCTCGGATTAGTGTGTAGCGGCAAAGAAATCTCCAAAATCAGTGGCTCTGTAAGTCCTCGACATTGGATGCCGACCACATTGGTTTTAATGGACTAACCTAGCCGAAGGCCATCGGTCATGCATCCATACCAGATCATGAGTGGGGACGTCATGCTCAACATTTCCTGCAATCACTAGCCAGTCTAGATCAGTTGATTTTCAATATATTGATAGCCTATTAAATATACCTTCCAACCTCCCTGTTTCTGACTTTTGATTTCACTAGGTGGGTACTTTTCATACTAGGTGTTACTGGATAAAACGCTTTCAAACTCCAAATACCTGTGGCATATTCAAGTGTCAAACTGTTCAAATCGAGAAGATGATTCCGGTCAGCGGATAATCTTTGGTATCCACAAGTATGCGCCATAATTTCAGTCACATTCAATTAAGACCCTTCGGAAAATCCCAGTTCCCCAGTTCCTGATTACACAGTGATTGTCGTTTAGTGGATAAGGTAATGTTAAAAGCATACGAAGGGCAATCATTTGAAATTCTTAGTAAAAAAGCGTCAAGTCGCCAATGAAAACAACTACTTCACTTCTTTGGTATCACCACCACTTTGAATGGTCATCAATTGCATCATTTGCCCTTCATCAACCTTCTGAATACCAGGACACCCTACTCAAGAAACGTAATATGAACTTGTGATATGCATTTTTTTTCAAGTGACATTTTTGCGAATCGTTTTTCAAATCTTGGCTGGTGAAGTAAGGTAGATGTCATTTTGAAGCTTCAAATACTATCGTGTCTCCTTGTTCCAGAACATTCGAAATCGGGTGAGAATCTTTCAAGCAACATACAGAAATGTTCGTTCAAGATATTATTTTCAGCCTCTTTTCATCGACTTAGCGTTACATATCACTAGCCAAACACCCAATGATATTGTTAGGCATAAATCTTTACTCCCTTGTTTTGTCGATCAGTCACGGAAGAGCCATATTCGTCTGGTCCCGATGCTTATTAACCAACACAGTGATTAAGTAGCCTCAAACAAATACCTCATCACCATGAGTCAGGAACGGAAGATCTGATGTCTAAAAAACGAGGACGTAAGTAAACCTGAAACACGCTGCTGTGGTGTCAGGTTTTCGCCGGACTCTTAACTAATTAACATTGGGTGCTACAACCTCAATCCTTCTGATTCGTACTGCTCAACACACATCAAATTACAAGTTTATGTTAAACTCACCAGGGCTGTCTAGGAAGAGTGATTAAACTGTATTACTGTACATTTCCAAATGTCTGAAGTCGTCCTCTGCCATTCAAACGTAGAGATAAGAGTAATCCAATTACAGGCAAGACACAAAACTTTCTCACTGCATAAATATCAACTCGATTTCACGGGTCGCCCAATAGTAAAAGGAAAATACCAGTTCCAACAACTCATCCGTAGCGCAAACATAAATGCAGAAACCGTCTGTAAGATCTGCACAACAGGTCATCGTCACATGCCGCAGTCAGATGGTTGTGTTATATGTCTAGCAGTCCAAGTCATTTACTCTGCTCACGAAGAATCTCTTCTAACCCTATGGATCTCATGTGATGTTGCGGAGGCTGACATATAGCATTATTAAAAAGGGCAAAGATTAAGTACTCCTCAACTAATCCGGGACGTTGTAAGAGCTTTGCGGACGAGGACGAGAATATAAATACCTCGTTCGGAATACCACTCTCCAGGTCTATTAGAAACAATGTAAAGGAACTAAATGTCAAAACAACAAACCTTCAAAGCCGTTTTTAAGTTTCGAAACAGAAACCAGACTGCATAAATAATCACAACAGTGGAAAAGTCAAAACGGACACAGCTTTGTTTAGAGGAGGTAGATCTGTAGTTGCGTTGGACTCTGACCACATAATCATCAAAGATGAACACGAGACAAATGCGGAAATAGACATTCAATATTTAATGCGGAGAAAAACCCAACAATGGAGAAGGTGGGAGAAATGAATTCAGTGAATCCTAATTGGTCGGACGGCATGGCTCAGCCTTGCAGGTGTGGTCACTCTTAAGTGTTGTAGAGTAATCTTTAATTCATAATAAATGTATTGTTCTATCTGTAGCCTAAGTTTGTTCTCGATCATATATTAGTGATTGGTGCGATGTGATGAATTGGTGTAGATAATGATGTGACTTACACGTAAAATGCTACAGATTAGGCTGCTACGTCATGAAAAATCTGCAATTTTAGGATTACGTCCATTATTAGAGTAGTACTAATATCGAAGTAGACCACAATTCTACAGGGCTCTCAGATGTGGTAGGATAATGATAGCTTAAAATTCACTATGTATATCCACAAACATGAATTAAAGAACAGTCTACTCTTTAGAGATCATCACATCTTCAATAACGCGACGGATCAAGACTTTCTTTCTCTTAACCACTGTCTTGTACAGAATGTTCCCCTAGAAGGTTGAATCTAAGTCAC